AATAATACAATTTAATAAACACTATAATCTAAACATGCAATCTAATTACTACTATATAATCTATATATTTCTATATCGGATATCTATTTTATGTTCTGGCTATCTCTTTGAACTCTTTCTGATATTTATATTTTAACACTATATAATCTACTACTCACTATTTAATCTAACTACTAGCATGTGATCTAAATACTGCTATTTTCTTTTTGTTCCTAATCCATTTACACATTAAATTTTATATTGTTTATACTGGCCTTCTGTACCTGTTTGGATGCCCAGTTCTATGTTAAGGGTGCTGGTTCTTTGTGCCAGTCTGGATGTTGGATTCTATATTGAGGTACTTACCTTCTGTGCCTATTTTGTTGCCTGTCAAATACAAAAAAAATATCGTGTCAGATGACACAGTAAATTCATGGTTAATTTTGGCTGGCTCTATGGCATAATTCCAGTTGATCTTTAGAACACATAATTTGAGGATTCAACTTGGTACTATAATAGTGACCTGATAGTGTTTAGAACTATCATGGCACTGGCAGGAAACTGGTAGAGAACCAGAAAAGTTCTATTAGTTCACCAGTTTTAGATTACTTCTTATACTATAGTGCTAGCTAAAGTTAAGCAGAATTTACTATGCCTTTGGCTTGTACCTAGCCTATTTGATTACTGAGATCCGAGTATATGATTTAAAAGATCAAAGCCAATACCAATGAAGGTAAAAAATCTCTGAATACATATCTAGGAAAGTGAAGGCTTCTGCAATAGATTATGCACTTACCTCCTTAAGTGTCTATATATACCTGAGTTCATACTAGTGATAAGGTAGATAAATTCCATTAGTTTATATAAAATTTCTGAAGTTACCTATCCTAGATGTCTATTATACCCAAGTATATATCTAAAAAGATGTAGGCTTCTCCCAATATTTATATAATAGATTACGAAGAAGCCTACACTTTTGTTGCACATCAAAATACAAAAAAACATATCGTGTTGGGTGGCATAGTAAATTTATAGTTAATTTTGGTTGGCACTATAGCATAATTCTGACCGATCTTTAGGGCATGTGATTTGAGAACCCAGTTTGGCACTATGGAACTGTTATGGAATTGGCAGGGAATTAGAATAGTTCTATTAGTTTGCCAATTCTGATTCAGTTTTATACTAGCTTAGATGCTGAATCATTATATCCAAAGATCTGACCGAAATTATGAATAGTGCTGGCTATAATTGACCAAATTTATTGCACCTATTGCACTGGCCATGTATTACTATTCCTAAGCACTTCCAAAGTTACCTCATACCCGAGTACATATCTGGAAAAGTGTAGGCTTCTTCCAATATTTTATATAAAGATTCTGAAGAAGCCTACATTTTTGAATACATAGCCAATTGCCATTCTTTTATGTTTTCTAACTAAGTTTGCTATCGCTTCTTTTTTGTATCCATCAGAGCATAGAATTTGTGCCAAAGAAGCCTTCACCATACCCAAGTACATATCTAGGAAAGTGAAGGCTTCTGCCAATATTTTTTATAATAGAGTATGCAGTTACCTTCCCTAAGTGTCCACATATGCCTAGGTACATACTAGTAGGTATTCTTTTGCCAATATTTTATATAAAGATTATGCAGAAGAATACCCCAAGTATTATTAAATATATTTATTTGCATCTATATGCCTTCAGCATATCCGAGTACATACCTAGAAAAGTGTAGGCTTCTTCTAATATTTTATATAAAGATTCCGAAGAAGCCTACACATTTTGATATATCTGGATGTCTTTTTTTTATGACTTGCAATCCAAGTTTGCTATACATTTTTTTGTATTCTTCGAAAAAAAATATTTTAAACATTTCGAAAATATATTGGAATATATAAAGTTTTACTTACTTACTGACAACATGTATACTACAACTATTTCTGACTAAACTGATCGCACTGGAACTGGCCCTCTCGCCCGCTACGGTGATGCTGAGACCAATGAATATTTAAGTGACTCAAGCAGTTGTACTAATAATGGATCTAAATTAGAATCAGATGATTATAATAACTACGAGTCTAATTATGAGTCAGATAATGAAGAAGCTCACTGCACCTCAACAAGCATTACCAAGTCTTCATCAGTTCAGCTATCAAATATAGAAGAGCAAAAGGCTAATACGATATACACTTTAAGACAAGAAAAGTTCAATAATAATTTTACTTCCAAGAACTTGCTAAATAGTATTCAGGAAATTCTTTCATCGCCACCTAAAGATATGTCAAATAATAAAGGCTCATTAAATTGTCTTCCAATCTATTCATTCCTCTTTCCAAATAAAAAAGGCCCTAGCCTATATAATGCTTATAACCAGGATGAGGTTGAAAATAAATTGGTTATCAAAATCGATCAAGATGATCAAGCCCCAAAGTTTTCTGTTGCAGATGATATTTCTGAAGTATATGGTTTGCCTGGAATTTATGAATATATTAATGGTCAAAAACCTTTAAGAGCCGTAATTGATATAGATGCTTCACAAGAAGATATAGAAACAACTGGTGTTAAGATGCAAGAAGTATTTATTCAAATCTGCCTATCTTTCATAAGAGCCTTGTATCGAATTCTCGACTGTAGTTGGGAAAATATTCTCAATAGGTTAGTTATTGCTACATCTTCAGATTCTAGCAAGTGTAGCTACCTTATTTTATATGCACTGGCTCTCCTTATCGACTATCACAAACTTAAAGCATTCTTAGAATTAGTATATACCTTAACTGGAGAAAAATTTGGCAAGTTCATTGATCAGAAATTACCTGGTCACAACTTCAACCTTCGCCTTATTGGTTCAGCAAAAAAAGATTGCATAAAGCATATTCTTCAGTTTTCATTAAATAATAGCTGGAATGAGCTCGATCATACAAGAGTTCAACCGTCTACTAGATTAGGTCTCAAAGTAAGACCTCGTATGCTTAGTGTAAAAAAAAATAATAGTTAGCTAATGATAATCGTAGGTCATGATATATTACAAAAATGCGTGAACATAGTTTTGCAGAAGTATCCTAACTATCTTAAAGATTGGTTATCAAAGAAAAAGATTCAGAAAACTTCATATATTTTAACCAGAAAGCCCCACTAGAATGCTCACTTTGCAAACACATACATAACAAGGATCAGAGGTGGTTTGGTCATGTGTGTGCTAGTAGTGGAACGTTCATTATAAAATGCTTCTGGCAAGGTAGTGGTGAACCTGGGGATGTATTTGAATGCAATCCATCTATTGCAGAAAAAATTCTGCAAAAAAAATAAAAATTTACTACAACCTTCTTGCAAGGTAAAAGGCTCGGGCTTCCCAAGAGCTTTTGTAAAAATGCCATCTTGGGTCAAATGTATTGAGACCCTTACGGCTACAGAAATATATAAGAAGAGATATGTAAAACCATTACCCAATAAAGGTGATATTTATGTAGGGTCACCTTGGGAAATAGGAAAAACCTATATTTTTGAAAAATTGGCTATTCCTAATAATATAAATTTGCTAGTATTATCCATGCACCACTCTTACTCAAATGCTGTTGCTACAAAACTCAATCTTAAGTTATATTGCGATATCGATAGTAATATAAATCTACCTGATCACAAGAGGGTGGTTTGCCAGATAGAGAGTTTACATTGTATTACTAACAATTGCAAATGCAATAAAAAATATAAATGTTCACCGAGCCAATACGATTTATGGCTTGATGAAATAGTATCTATAATTGCTCAGACACAAGGTCGTTTGGCGGAGCAATCAATAGAAAGTTTATATAAATTAGTTCAAGAGGCAAGGCACATTATCATCATGGATAATGATTTAACTGACCTTAATATCGAATGGATTAAGGCCCTTCATAAGGATATACCATTCTCAATTATCCACAATATTTACTAGCCTCAGAAAGGTAAGACATTTCACTTGGCTTCTAATAAAAAAACAGTGCTAGCAGAGCTTTGGGATTAGGCCAAGCAGATGTCTTTATTACCTTTTGAAAATCGAACAAGTGCGTCGCTTATTTGCCATCTTAGAAAAGATATACAAGGAATTGTTCATGCCCTTAAGACTGAATTTCCAGAATTACAAATTAAAGAATACTATAGTAAATCCAATCCAGTAGAAAAGGCTTGTGATTTTAGCAATGTTGAAACATCATAAAGAGATGTAGATCTTATTGCATATATCAATACTTTAAAAATAGGAGTTTCATGTATTAATCCAAAATTTGAGTAAGCATTCTGTCTCTTCAATAGCTATATAGAAACAAACGCCGGAATGAATCAGATGCTATTTCATATACAGTGCATTAAAGACTATATATATTATATTGAGCAAAGATCATCTAATGTTCTCATTACAGAAGGTGGGTTGTTTCAATAGTTACTAAATGTCAAATGCGAATGTCTATCTCGAGAACTTCAGAATAGAGGAATATTTCCTGACACAGACTCTATTATCTGGAATAAGAATGTACCAACTGTTTGGTTATGGATAGCATATATGTTGGAGAAATTCTATTCTTGGTGCTTATTTGGTTAGAGAATGGTTGATTTTCTTCAAAAGGCAAGTATGGAAATTTCTATCATAGAGTTCATTTCTAAGTCTGATGAAAATATTGTACTGTTGTCTCAAGCTGTGAAGGCTAATTTCTTAATTATTAAAGCAGAAGAAATATCAGATCTAACTAATACTAATATTCTAGATTATGAAACTGCTGAATTTTTGGAGAACAAGCTAAAGAAGACCTTAAAAGAAATGCATTCTTTAGACCGGCATTGTATTGTAGATTGCTATCAGATCCAACCTGAATTACTAACCAAAGAATTTATCTCAAAGTATGGGAATTACAATCACATAAAATGGTTTAAAGCTTATAGGCAACTACAAGATGCTGGTACTAACAATGAAATGGCTGTTGAAGCTATTTCTTGTAAAGATTATAGAGAAAATAGGCTTACAACTGCAACTCAAACTGAGAAACATTGAATCTGCCTAGAATTATTAATGATTTGCACACCAGCTAGAGATATTGATAATAGATCCAGATATAAAGCTGATAATGTTAAGATGTGTCTGAATTCTCCTGGATTTATATCATATCTCCAGAATTTAGTGCCTAAAATGGCTCGAGTATTTGATAATACAGATGTGTCATGTAGTGTTAAAAAATCGGGATTAAAAACAATTCGAGCAAAACTTGGATTACTGAATTCAGCACTACATGTAACATATAAGCTAAAGTTTAAGGCTATAGACAAGGGTTGTAGGTATTACTATCTAGTTGGATCTTTCGATAGTAACAACACTCCTGCATTACCTCTATATCAAACAGAAAAAAAAATTTACTAGGTAAATAAAAAAGATACTCGGTATGGCTATAGTGAGTTTTCATCTAATGAAATATTAATGTAAATATATCATACTCGGTCAGAGTACATACTTTTGAGATGTAGGCTTCTTCTAATATTTTATATAAAGATTCTGAAAAAGCCTACACATTTTGATACATATTGTTTACACCTGAAATGCACTATCTGACTTCGATACTTAACTAATTGATAAAATATATTTTCTACTTACTTATTAGTGGACAATTCAGAGGTCTTTTCAGGTTAAAGAGCCTCAACCCTATACTTTTGCCTTATTCGATAATTGAGTAAATGAAATCTGGCAAAATGTTTAAGACAACATCCCGTAATAGAAACAGTAGATATTCTACAAACAAAGCAAGACTTTTTTTTTATATTTTTTTCATATAATATCTAGTGCTTTGTACAGCCAGTAGTATGAGTGCAGACTCTCCCACAAATGGAGCCATCTCTCTTGATATACTGACAAGTAACATGATCTATGCAAGTATTTAGGATATAAAAACCTTTTTACTTTTTATTGTAGATTAATTTCATAGTAAAATGTGGATTTAAATTATTCAGTATTAAGATAAGACATAAACATCTTTTCATACTTACATTATGGATAGATTAGATCAACCAATAAATAAAGTTCGCAAAAAAATCTATAATCCCAAAACTAATCACATGATCATTATAAATGGGTCAACGTATAATAAATTGCTATATGAAGGCTATATGCATTGGAAAGAGAAAGAACTCTTGATTCCACCATTCAATAAAATACCAATATTGAGAGAATATCTTTCTTTTATATATATTGAGATCGCATATGATTCAGAAAAAAGTTTACTTATGTTAATTAATAGAAAAGTAAGTTTGTTAGAAATTTTACTCAAAGTATATAATAATAGTGCTACAAACAAGTTATTAAAAATTGACTAGAATAGTAAAAAAATGCAGGAATGAAGAAGTAATGTACTTATAAAATTTCTCCATCATCCGAATTTAGCTTCTTCGAAACATAGACCAGGTGCTTTATATGATGCATTCACTGAGGCAAATGTTTTAGGACCAAAACATATATTAGCTCTAGTGCGAGCACTTTATTAAAATGTAATCACAAAATAGGACTTAGACCTTAAGTTTGTTTATAGCTTTGGAATGAGGGTTCTGTGGCTATTTTTTTGCTTATCCTATCTACTTGCAGATTTCAAATTCTGTAAAACCTATTTCTGACCAGAGCAAATGGGGTCCCAAAGGGACTACCCAATATAAGTTATAATATTTTTTCATTCCTTTAACCTAGACAAGAACCATCTCTAATATTTCCCTTTCTGAAGAAGCATAGCTCTGAGGAATTTTTTCGAATTGAACTTTTTTCCACAATATATAATCTGAATACTAGAGAATAATCTAACACTCACCTATATTTTACATACCATTTCATACTTATACTATGAATACATCAGGCCAATCAGCAAAGCATGAGCCTGAAAGTAAAGTTCATGAAAAAATATATAACCCCAAATCAGAAACAGTACTCAATACAGTAACTGGCCGATGGATCAACTCAAATGAAAAACTATTCCAGAAATTGATTTGTAAAGGGTTCATATACACTGATAAACTTTTAGATTATTTAGAAAATATTTGAGAAAATATCTTTTCTCATCTAGTCTTAATTCCACCCTTATCTATCCTAGCTAGACCAGGTATTTGCAGAAGATTCCTTATTAGTGTGAGATCCACTGTTAAGGGTGGAATGAGTCTATTTACTCAAGAAAAAAATAAACAATTCTCACTTCAGAATCTGGTCCAGTTGCCATTTTAATGAAAATTTGATCATATTATTAAAATTATGCTAAAAACATAAAGAAACGAAAGCTTAAAGGAATGGTGTACTCATAAAATTTCTCTATCAGCCAAATTTAACTCCTTTGAAGTATAGACCAGGTGCTTTATATGATGCATTCACAAAAACAGATGTTTTAGGACCAGAGCATATATTAGCTCTAACATGGTTACTTGACTAAAATATAATTATAATATTCTTTTGAGAAATATTTATTCATAGTTTTGGAATAGCAGTTCTGTGACTATGTATCTTTTTTTGCATATTTATCTGTAAATTTTAAATTAATGTAAAACTCCAGGCCAGAGCATAAGTTATATTATTATTTTTCACTTTCTTTCCAAAGAAGCATAGCTCTAAGAAAATTTTTCGAATTGAACTTTTTTTCTACAATATATAATCTAAATACTATGGATTAGTCTAACTACCATATATATTCTACATACCTTATTATGTTCGCTATCACAATCAAGTTCATCACAGATCACAAACTCACCAATGAGATTAGTCTTGAAGAGCTTAGCCAATATATGCCAGAAATACTTGAGCTCTTAACAGCTAATAAAGAAAAAAGGCACCAGGCTCGTAATCGTCTTATAAAAGGGTATAGCTTTAGCAAAGAGCAGGCATTTGCATTGATTTCTCTTCAGAGAATCAGGTGATGCAAAAGTCAAGTACTGGTCCCAGAGAGACCAAGGTTGAAAGCTAAAGAAGTAAATATATGTCAAGTATTAGATAGTACTAGTTCCAAGGAGACTATTAAAGAAATGGCTCAGTGTATTATATGAGATAAACTTAACAAAAGAGAAATAAAAGCAATATCTAGAATCTTAGAAAAAACATCCCCTGATGCTGTCGTTGCCTTATCTCATCTCTCTAGGTTTTGAAAAGAATTGTGGACCCTCAATGCTTCAGAAAAAATAATTTCTGCTATATTAAATTCAGAGGTAACTAGATTATCTAATAAAGTCCAAAAGGAGCATAGCGAGCAACATGAAAATGAAAGGATCGATTTTTCAGACTACTTCTTATTAGAATCAGTTAAGGAGAGACAGAATTTATATGATGTATCTAATATACCTGATAAACAAACTCTAGCTAATGTAATGATAATGCTCTGCATTTGTTCTGCTGAAATTAAAAACTTGCATATATCTAATAGGGCTGTAACAGAATATGCAAAAAACCGAGGTCAACAAGATATTTCTTGAGTGTTTAAATCATTAGAAAAGAATAAGAAGCAGGCTAAGCAACTCTTTACTTGAATTCAGGAAGCAATTTCTTTCGAACAGTTAAGAGACCCTGGAAAGCTTGGATCTATATACTTAAGTGCATTTCTAAAAAAAGACGAATTTATTCCTAAAACAGAAAGTCATAAACCACTACTTCCTAGCTCTTTGTGCAAATTAGGGGCAGTATTTGCAGTTGTATCGAATGGTGCGAAGAATTTATCAAAGGCTATAACCATTGCCAGTTAAGCTTTTCGACATTCGCCAAACAACCATGCCTCCACAGCACAAAACTATACTATAGTGAATTTCTGCCAGAAAGGACAACTTTATGATCAGGCAAAGACATTTAAGCTCTCTGATGAAAACTAATACCTTCTCAAAATTAATTTTCTCAGAAGAGTAGGTTAGATGTTATTTGTTAAATTTTATTTTTTTTTATTTGAGGTAAGATAAATTATATATAAAATATCACGAAAATGACAACTGATCAAAAGCATTCATCTGATAATACACTTACTGAGCAAGAAGCTATCAGACGTACAGAGAAAATAGCCCAGATATTTGAGTTATATGAGCAAAATTCGAAGATGTATAATATGCTTTTTGGGGAAATTGAGGTGCTAGCGAAAAAACTAGATGATTATCATTCTAAGTATATCAGCTTAAAAAAGATGGTAAAAAGACTAGAAAGAGATGTAGAGTCCCTAGAGACTGAATTAGAAGATTTAGATAACTGTGTAGATAAGGACACTGTGGTTGACTTAATACATGAAATAGTTCACTTGCTGATTAATGAAAAAGGTAAGAGTTCCTCCTATTCATCCAAGACTTCTGAAGAATCTGATTCAGCTAAAACATTTAAGGTAAGAGAACGAAAGGCTGTTTCTTATAAGCAACGAAGAAAGGCACAGCCAAGAAAAATTAAGATAAAGAAAACAGTAAACAGTGATGCTAAATGTTTACTATTTTCCTAATGCTATCCTTGAGATCACAATTGAGTGATCTATTTTTAATACAGGTAGAAAAGTGTCGATATGAAATAAAAATTTATGAAGTGTGTACACCTTTTCTTCACTAATTATCCATAATTGTCAGTAGATCGATTGGTCCTTAGTTCATACTAAATAATTCGTGAATAAATAGATCACCAAATCTGAAATTGTTTTTTTAATCTGCAAATTAGTTTTGTTAGTCATGAAAGTTTATAATAAATAAAAATGAGCAGAGTATAGAATTAACTACAATACTTATCTATTTATAACCCTTTATACCGTATTCTAACTCTCAACTGTAAAAATTTTTATCTTTGAATATGTCTACTGACCCAACTCTGAAAAATATTTCATGTCTCAAAACTCTTGCATCGAATATTCTTAAGAATAGCTCACCAAATGCTATTGCAAAAGATATTGGAGTTTCAGAACTAGACCTATGCTCAAGGTGTAAAAAAGAGCTTTTTTTGTACTAACTTAAAAAACCATTTACTGTAATAACTTGTGATCTGAAATTTAATGTTTACTATTTCTGAACATACAACGATATTCATTTAATCCATATACAGCATTTGTGAAATCTAATTTTTTTACATTGGTTAATTTCACTATTACAATATCGATTGCTAATTTTCGATTATTTATTGCGCATTACCTCTCTTTGCACTGTTTCAAATCAAGCTGGTCTAAATAATTTAGGACAAAATATGAGTGAGTATATAAAATGCCAGTAGAAATGATAATGTTTTCCGAAAAATGGCAAATAAGGGAATAAAGATTCATCCACTTCTATGAGCAAAAGTGATTCTGACTTTTATGATCTTGAGGCATTTTTGTTAAATTGCCTGCGAAACCAAAATATTACTGTATTACAGTCATGGGAAGATATTCATTTGATTGGCTGATTCAAATCAATTGCTGGATAACTAATTTATATAGTTTAAAGTACTTTTTAAGAGCATAATGTTTCACACATTTTACTAATAAAGATATCAATTTTGATTATCTTACGCTTCGTAAGAACGTAGCTATTTATTGTGTAAAATAATTCCAAAATAATCCCAGATCTGAAGTACTTACTTAGAAGTGAAAAATGCCTATGTGTGTAATTGCAATCTGCAAGAGCCAGCAATCTGCAAAATGGAAAAAGGTAACTGAAAATGTAATTTCTAAAGGTTATATTAACAAAACTTTGCCAAGTTATATTCAAATAGGTAATGCACTTTGCTCAAACTGTTATAACGGGATTGTAGTAAACTGTTCTCTTACATTCCAGCAACATGCTCAAGTTAATGCAAGACAGCCTGAAATTGACAAGACTGAGAAAGCTGAGAATATTAACCATTCGGGCCAATCTGAAACTGAAGTTACTGAAATTGAAAATACTAATTGTTTGTCTTTTTCCAAAGCAATAGAGATTATAACAAATATTTTATATAATCGGAAAAAAGAAAAAAGACTAATGTTGTACTTATTTGATGAATTTCGAATGGCTATGGAACAGAAGGACATGAGGTTAAAGTTCTTTTTTAATGAATTATATCTTTCATCTAACCCTTCTTTAGAAAACAAAGACTCACAAACACAGGCAAAAAAGCAGCTTCTATTTGTGTGCTACTTTCTTTGCGGAATTCGTAATAAGTTTGTCAATAATACAAAAAGAGATGTAATGATGTATTTAAATTCTACTGGTACTTCTAACACTACTATAGATACTCTATCTGATATAGGTATAACTGTAACATCTCATTCGATTGCACGATATAAAACTGATGCATCCAAAAAGCATCATGAGCTTGTCGACTTTACACTTGATAAATATATAGAAAAAGTAATGGTATTAAATATTGATGATTATCATAGTATACATACGGAACGGATGCCAAACACAACTACCACATCTGCTGCTGCACATCTTGCTACAGTCTTGATGAATTCAATTACTATGCAGAGAGCAATCCCACAACTCAATATACATAATCCCAGATTGGTTGATGCTGAATCAATTAAAATGAATTTAGAAAACAAATTCATGATGCTTTATAGTCTTTCACATAACCAATGTTAGGGGTTTCATGCAATTGATGACAATCAAAGACTAAAGGAATTAATCATGCATAGCTATGACATCTGGCTAAAAGAAAAACGTTATATCTGTTCTATGAAGGATGTAGTTCTTATAGACCTACAAGAAAATAAGCTTCATTCTTTGAACAAATATATTGAGGCTATTAACACTGTCACAAGTGTTCCATCTATGCAACAGTATATTAAAAAAGGGCATGTTATTCCTATCGTAGCTGATTGGCCTGGACAGATTTACATTAGAACAGCGATCTCATGTTATTTGCTTTATAATAATTTATCAAATATTACTAATACTGTTTTATCTTTTCTTTCTGTGATAGGTCCTCTCTATATTTCGTTGAATAGTCGAGAACTAGTGTTTCTTTAATATCGACCTTTTTTCTCAGCTATGTATAAATATATTTTTGGAGAATGAAAACCTCTTGCGCAAAAACCCAAGCCATGGCGTATTAATTTTCTTTTAGAGATTTCTCGAAGTGCTTGACAAGAAATCTCAAAAATTGTTGAAGAAAAATTTAAATTTAGTAAAAATGCTAAATATCTTATACTTAAGGATCTTCTTAACAACATGATCCTTCTTATTTTGGATATCTATGCAGTATTTTTTAGATCTGGAGATTTTAATGCTTACTTGGAATCCTGCATTCGTGTTTGGACAATATTCCTTAATTTTAGTTGCAGAAACTATACAAAGGCACTGTTAATGTTCCTTTCAGATATTTTTTATTGGGAATCGATCAATCATCCAATTTTAGAGTCTATCAAGACTGAACTTCTCAAGTTCTCAGATTCAACTGTAGAAATCTTCTATAGTTTTCTGTGCAGAAGTATGCAGAAACATGATGGTGCAGAGCAAATTATTAACTGCAGTCGTTATCTTAATAAGTTGTATCTTGATTGCAACGGATTTAGAGAAAATTTCGCACACACGTCTACATGGGCATCCTATAAATATTCTGTACAAGATATTACTAATCTGACAAAAAAAAATGCTTGTTTTCTCTTACAATGTTTTTCAGAAATTTATATATATGTGTTTTGTCATCAATTACTACTAACATTTCTACAATCAGTTATAGGTTCATCTTCAAAGAAAAATGGAAAAGAGAAATCTAAGAGCACCATTTCGTTAACCACAATTAAAATGCCAGAAGCACAATTATGACACCTTCCTTTGGGTTTTAATACTTTACATAAACCTGATCCATTTCGTTACTGTGATTCATCTAACTGTCATCTTTTTTCTTCTATTAGTACAGAATCAATTAGAATTCTAGCTTGCAGGCATACTTATCATGAATCTTGTTATATTAATAACAGATTCAAATGCCTGCATTGTCTCTCATTCTTACAAGACGGTATTGATGAACATGTTCAGTCCTTACTGGAACGTTTGCAAAAATTTAAAGAACAATCGCCAGTTGAAGAACCAGAAAATGATAGTCCTTGTGATGACGATGAAGAAAATGAATCGGTGGAATATACGACATTTGCATTAGAGGAGGCAATTTGGAAATTTAAAATGCAATGAAATTTACTGTTTTTTATTAATAAAATTTTATTGAATTGTTAAACCATTTTATTTCGAATAATATTTACAACATGGCGCGGCTAATATTAATTAAACTTTTGTATTATACAATAATTATTTCATATTTATTTGTATTTAATTTCGTCATAAAAAATTACATAAATAATTATTTCGTCATAACAAATTACATAAATTTTTGTAAAACCGATCTAATCGGGTGCTTAACCAGCACTTAAAATCTGCCGAAGATAGAGATTCAACAGCAAAGACAGCCCGATCCAAAGCGAATCCCTCTCGCCTGTGATCAATCACAATTTATGTTGGATTCAATTGTGATGGATTTAATCCCTCACCAGTTTTAATATACGTGTAACGTTAACAGTCTTTGCTGTTTAAAGATTCACATGCACTATTGATCGTTTGGTTTTTCATCAAAGATACAGGCGTCTTTAAAAACGAAAAAAAAAGCATGAGTGATTGCTTAAAATCTGCTAAAGATGGATCGTGTAATGAATGCTGTGAGATGACGAACCTGTCATTAAAAACATATCAATCATTAATACTGAAGCTGAATATTTAAAGATTTTGGCTTTGTCAGCTTTGATACAATTTGTTTCATGTTATTCACATTTAATTTACTATCTACTCTTATTCGCTTGAATTTTAGTTTAATGCTCACATAAATTAATTAATTGTAACTCGGCGATTTTATTGGTTAATTGTCATGCATGGATCTACCTAGATTAGCCAATCACATGAATGTCTTCCCATGAGTATTACAGGAATAATACGAACCTTAAATTCGATCTTTGTGCCCGTGATGTTGCACGTGTGCTCACAGACGATATGTATATGAACATCTAATCATGTGCATCATAAACAATGTCGAGAAATATAATTAATGAAAAACTTTCTTTTGTAGGGGACGTTCCATCTACTGTTGCTTGCACATCCGGTGCATCAACACAAAGCAGAGATGTCACAGAAATTGTTGAAAATGCCCCGAGCTTGCAAAAGGAACAATCAGTATCTAGTGGTAAAGTAAATTTATTATAGGTAATTTTTCGTGGATAAGTCATTAATTGCTGTTCGAAAAAAATAGGTTTCGGGAACCTTCAGTTAGATTTAAAAATCTGGGTAAAGTACGGTGACAGCCAGCCAACTCGGATTCTTTTTGAGGGAGAGATTGTAGACGACTTGAAAGAAGCGGCCAAGAAGAAACTGTCACCCGACTTAGATGATGTGGCCCTTAACCGTATTACTATAAGAAGACATGGTGAAGAAGACGACTTGCGTGCGGATTTAATTGTTGATGAAAGTATTGTAACTACTTACGACACACCTTTACAGATTATTGTAAATGCACCTGGTATGTATTCAAGTTTATTGAATAAGAGTGTTGATTAATAGGCTAAAGTAATTTTGTTTTTGCGATATAAGTGACATTAAAACGTAAACATGAAGAGTCGGAAGATTTAAGCGAGATTGTAAAAAGTGCTGTGAGGGAAGAATTCTCACGACAAAAGCCTGATGAGATGATACAAGCATCAAATCTTTCTGAAACAAAGGCAAGAAAGATAATTGAAAGTTATGGATTAAAACATTTTGAAGTAAGTATACGTCTCTTTTCCCGTATTATTGTATTATTAAATTATATTATTATTTATCATATATCAAATATTAGATCTCAGAAGAAGACTTTCAACCTATTGAACCCATACAATGTCAGCCATTCCTATGGGATATGGAAAATGATGAAGCTCACCAAATGTCCGAAGTTGAGGAATGGTTCAAGAACGCATTAAATCTACCAAGAGGTTTTCATGTAAAGGATATTCATACACGAAATTATCAACGACATTTACAAACTGCCAATGTCATTCTAACCGGTGGCACCGATATTTCTGTTGGTCCAAGCGAAACTTCCTGCGTTTGGATTGAAATTAAGAAAAGGAAGGAGAATTTTAAAATTGGTCAAGTTATCGGTGAATTATTAATATTGGATAATATTTACGCTCCAAGACCTATGTCTGTCCTAACTGATTGCAATGACAATTGGATTATTTTCTTTTTTTTGGGGACTGAAAACAAGGAACATTATTTAGCATCATCCACAATTCATGACCGCAGTATTGCTCTGGCAATAATTAGACAGTTCGTACTTAATGAAGGAAGAACTTATCTTGAGGTACTTGGGAAAAGTATTACATATCAAACAAATTTATCCGAACCACTTAAGAAGAGAGCGAAGTTTCTTCAATATATGCCCGAAGAGAATGATGAAAGAATGGCCGACATAATCGATGATATGACGGAAAAGGAATTATATCACATGACAATGCGCAAGAGATTAAAATTAGCGAAAAGTATTGTTAGAATAGAGGAACAACCAATTATAGATCAACTTATTAGACAATTTAGTGACGATTATGAAAATCCAACAACATTAATGTATGTGTAGCATAAATATTTGCTATAGATTATTATTTTATTGTCATGCGAAGTTTTTTATTCTCCAATTGTACTTTCGTTGGCATTCTAGCCTTAAAAAGAAATATAAAGTTATGAGCTTTTTCAAATGTTCTGTGTAGTAACGATCCGTATTTATGAATCTCAATTTGTGTGATCTGCTCGTTAGTATTTTATTTCAAGTGGTTGTGGTGCTTGCAGTAATTCTTTAATCAGTCAATCAAATTTGTCAGCCGATATATTTAATTTTTTTAATAATTATGAATGATCATAAGAAATAGGTCCTTTGATTTTTATTAGTATTGCAAAATTTTTGAATTTGATTCTTGGGTCATAAATTTTGCTAAGAACGAACTTTACTAATTGGTTTTTTATCCGCTTCGTGAAAGTAAATAAAATTGACGAAAAAAAATTATCTTTGTATCATAAACAAGATGTCTGGTGTGATGGAAATGCAGATTATTCACTGCTAAACAGATGAAGCTATTTTAGTGCAATTGAATTGAAGACATTCAAATATTTATTGTACAACATACTCCCAGCGATACCCTCCAGCATGAGCTTGAAGTCCTCGACATACTAGCCCGATATTATTAATTCCAGTAACACGTCGCGCTTCAGCTATAGACGGAAATTCACGAAAAAGTCCATTTTTAAAAATCTGCCTGACAACACATTGGCATTGAAGCCCAAGACGTACGGCATGTTGCATATTCTCTTTATGTGTACACCATTCGAGATTTGAAGCTCTGTTATTGGTAGGATCACCATCAATATGATTCACGTATTCTTTACCCTTTTCTTTCGGGCAAAATGCCAATGCAACCAGGCGATGGACACGATATTTTTCTCGAGCGACCCTAAGATATCCTGCATCTAAACATCCTTTTGTGATTAAACCGTTGGGTAGCCGGACTCTCCCTAAGGATGAAACTCTGAATTTTCGGGAATTAATCTCCATTTCTCTCCACTCTTCATTTGAATCTCGTTCTATATAATCCTCATAATACATCCAATGCCATCCTTTAGCAGTATCTAGCCTTCCACTACAACATCGTGAAATATTACTCATTGCTATACTAAGTGTATTTGATGCGAGAGTGATAGAATCCCAAATCTGAACGACATTTCCATCCAAAGACATTTGCACAACTTTTCTGGACCTGCTTTTGCTAGGATTCCGAAATACTATACGTTCGGCATTTTCTTTAGAAGTTACCCATTCCAAATTAACAGCTCGATTGTCATGCTTAATACCGTTGATGTGATTAACATAGGGCTTATTTTCTGGATTAGGAATAAATGCCTGTGCGACTAAAATATGAACCGCAATACTAGTACGAATGCTATTAACATTAAAATTTATTCGTATGTAACCTTTTCTTTTGCAGGCATTTAGCTTAAAAACCTTACCTTTTTTGTTCTTGATGCGTCCAAGATTAGACACTAGTAAATCTGAAGTGGATATTACCGGCAACCAAACTTCCATTACGTATAATATCTGTTATTTATTGTCATACCTACTTTTAAATAGGTAAATCTTTAATAGACAATTGGCAAATCAATCGGTTTTCCGGACACATTATCGTTTCGTGTAACTATGTTACTAGAAATATTCTTGGGTATATTTTCATAAAAAATAATAGGCACTTCGTGTCTTTAACCCTCCAGCCTTAAAAAAAAATCAATGTGTTATCTACTTAAGGTCTGGATTCCGTGGAAAATAATATTAACACGCTATTGAGTTTAATACGCTCTCCTATCCTAACCATATACCCCAATTTTTTTTCTAATAGGGGGGTAATGTAAACCACAGAATTAAATTGGTCTGGCCTAAACGATGAGGTTAGAAGGCAGAAAAAGACAGAACGTATCCGGAAAATATATTATTTTTTTGATGCTATAGGTGAAAATAAAATAGATAGAATTAGTTCTTTTAATGCGTCATCTATTTTTAAATTAAGTCAGGAAAATATCGATTATGTAATACTTAACATTACGAAAAAATCAAAATGACATTTTACTGCGCCCATTACTGCGCCTGGTGTAACCATGACACCAGTGTCACACTCTCTTAAAAAATAAAAATATTTGCAACCGGTATATACATATTTCTGGCCTAAGCATTTTATGATACGTAACGGTAAAATTTTAGCCACGTATTTTTTTCTGTTAATATAACAATGAAAAATTAGAATAACATATCGATATTTACAAATAAAAAAAAATCAAAAATATTACGAAAAGTGGCCCCTATCCACTCGCATATATGCGAGTGTCTAGATTAATATAGTGATCTATTTTTACTTTACCATATATTTATCCCGCCAATGAATGTAATGAATTGGCGGGTAGGGTGGAAGCACGGGTGTAAGGTTTGTGACGAATGCAATCATCATTCACACCTATATTGCAAAACCTGCGGATGGAATATATAAGCGATGTGAATGCGATAACATGTTAGAATAAATTTCGCATACGTATAAATTTATCTGAACTATAATACCTTACAAGGCTTATCATTATTCATAACTCATGTGGAACGAGTAAAAAGTACCATTTTTAAGTTTTTCTCGAAATAGTACCCTAACCCAAATTCGGTCAACAATCTCATGACACATACGTTATCTGTGCAACCAAATCTTTATACGAATTTTTTTGAATTTTATTTACAAACGTTCATAGAAAAAATAATACCCAAGCTTTAGATCTACTCCAAAGCCGGTACAAAAATTTATTTCTTCTTCTAACCCGTCTTCTCGCAATACTTGCTCGAAGCCAGATATAATTAGTTAACTATATATCTTTTTTTCGAACTTGAGAGAAAAAAAAGGGCGAAGTATAATACATAGCGATCTTTCTCTACGCCGTAATGCCGAAGATGTCGAGATCTCAACATGCATTCCACATGCCTAAGGGTCACCCTATGACCAACGTAGTGTAATGTAGAAGGTAAAAAAAATGGCGTAGAGCACATATAGGTCCTTTTTCTGCTATTGTCCTGCCATTTGTATTGCCATTCAGAGAAGAGCGAATTCCATTTATAAAGGGGAGTATAATGAAGTTATGGGAGTTTGTCGCTTTACAGTGATTAAAAAATCGAACTAATACCTATTACTTTCAAATGTCTAACACCACTAACTTCTTTTACCGCAACCGTAGTGAGACATATGGAAAATTGTACTTTAAGTCGTGGTTACCTCAAGTGTATTTTCCAACTGTAGAGCTATTGAGAAAGAGCGTTCTCGAAACGGCAGTAAAGCAATACACTGATGAGCTCAGCGATGCTATAACAATGTGTAAGCATCAAAAATTAGGTACCATTGTAAAAAAGTTGGAACAAATATCTCAGAGGTTTTCGAAGATACCCCGGGTGAGTAGTTGAAAATGATAATCAATCTATATTTCTATCGAATAAAATGATGTTTCCAATAGTGTGGTTAAATAGACATAGGCCTATGTCAATGCCCTGTATCCGGACGTGCACAACAATTATAAGTGTACGCCTTAGCTCTGCAGAAAGTCGACTCTGTATTCATCAAAGGATTCAGGTGCATGAGTTTCACCGTCCGGGCAATTTGCTAAGTTCGATACGGGCAATGCCTTCGAGTATCTCGTCATCGTCTGTCGGCGTGTTAACTCACTAATGTATATTAAATATGAAACACATCTATAGCAATTCTGATTTTCGAAAAATATTTTATGGTATATTCATCAAAATATTCTAGTGGTTTAATCTATCTATTACATACTTATAGGGACAACGACAAGAAATGTTTAGTGGAGCGTATCAGGCGGAAAAAAGACGGGTAAATTCTATTGATCTATTTTTGATGATATTCATTATATTTGGCTAATCAAAAATACTTCCGATTTAGCGTGAAGAACAAGAAAGACAGCAGAATCAGGAGATTATCCGGAAAAATATTGCCGAAATAATCGATAATTGTGTAAGTAAAAAATACAAATATGCATTCTCACATCTTATTATTTTTTGAAGTCCTAATATCGAATTCTTCATAGATTAATGCGGTAAATGCCGGTTGCTCCATGAAAGTTGAGGGAGTGCTAAACGAAGTTCGCGGGTGTTTAGAACAGCTTGATTTGACTTCTATCGATTCGGGTGATCCAATAGCATCCGGAATTATAGATATTTCTGAAGGAGTAGATAGCGTGGCAGATAAGTTATCAGTGGAGACTAAACAGGTTCTTGAGGAAATTGAATTAAGTGAACCGGAATTTTCAGAAAAAACGATCACCATGCTGGATGAATTTATTAATACGTACGAGTTATTGGGTCCCAATTTCGATCCGGCTCTTGTTAACCCTATTACATTCCCACGAGACGAAAATAATTTGGGTGAACGTAGGGTTTTATTAACAACATTCGATCTACTAGAAGGGCTGTAAGTGGAATAATACAATCAATCATATTTTGCATTTCTTGGTTAAATTAATCATCCGCTTAATTCATAGGAGAAATTGTTGGAGTTTGAGACCGTTATTAGGTGAAAGAGAGTATAGCGAAAACTCCTACGTGATTCATGCAGTTTCCAGAGTCGTAGATCCCATCTTTAATTATTATAAATGGAATCTTAAACGATCATGGTATAATACATTGCACCTTGTGCCAACTCTGCTGAAATGTTCAAACTTTTTTGCTTCTACTGTTACTTCTTATTCAATGATATAGTTAACAATGTTGATTTTTAGGGAAAAGGTGTCTAATTCATCCCAAGCACGAAAAGAGTTGATGCGTTCTATCCATTCTGGAGATAGGCCAGACTTGCAAGTTCTTCTAATGCTAGACTCGGATAAGTGGGAGTTAGTATTTACTGAGATTTCGCGATTAGACCCTCGTGCAGATAAGCAGAGCAATGATTGGAAGAAATTGAATCGTCTATGTAAGGATGGATTTGACGCTAGATTCAACGAATTGATTAAGGAGAAAGTTGTCGATGCTGATGAAGCTAAGTGTCTGATCAATGAGCTTCTCCAAATCCCTTTCATAGGAATCCAAGTGATAAGTAATCGTGTGCTAGTTTTTGGGATTGACTTTTACAATAATTCCTTTTATCGCTCTTTTAGAATCTGTGAATATACCATCCCTTTAAGAGTTTCTGACCGTCAGGTTGTGGAAGATTTTTTGAAAAGTTCATTGAAAGTAAAGTGTTATTTAGAAAAAATAGTCAACAATTTCGTGCGGATTAAGGATAGAATCGATCGTTTGCCTAATATGGTTGGAAATGAAAGATCGGGATCTAGCATGTCAATGTCTACAACATTTTAATAACTCATGTATTTTTTATAACGTATCACCAAATAAAAAAGTGTATTGTTTCATCGAGCAAATCCTTTTTTTATGATTTTTTTACTTTTCTTATCGTATTAATAAAGCTGGCCCTGGTGGCCGATTTCGCATACATAATCATGTTTACTTTTGCATGTGTATTTCATGAATTTATTTATTGTATTGATATCGATGACTATTAACACGCATATGATCGAAAATTTTTTTTGGTAAAGTGATAGAGCGTGAAATTTTTCACGCAGACAATAGTATAGACGTCATGTATCACGGGCTAGGTCCCGAACATTTGTATTTTTTTTCGCACGTATTAATAAAGCGGTTTTACATTTGTCACGTAACATTGAATAATTCTTTCATATGTAAAAAAATTATCCATCATGTCATCCGAGCTTGAAGTATTAATCACTGAGTTTGAGGCTAAGAAAACTGACGAGAAAGCTAGGCTTGAAGCATTGAGACAGAGCTTCGCCGAGCTTGAGGCTAGAATTTTAAAACTAGAGCAGGATCAGGCAGAAAGAGAAACTAAGAAAAATCGCAAATTCCAGACCAAGTGCATCCAGATAGCTAAGGAAATTCTTAATGAGGAACCTATGATCGAATATCGCCCTCCTTTCTTGAACGGATTAGAGCTTGATGCCTTCTTCCAAAAATATCGAATTGCATTGGAGGTGCAAGAGGCTCAGCATCGGCTTCATAGCACTAGCTGGTATAAGGATGTTAAAAAACTCGAAGACATTGTTAATCGTGATCGGCAAAAACGATGCATGTGTCAAGATAATGGAATTTCCCTTCTTGAAGTATGGTACGACGAAAAACCAGAAATTGTCATTCCAGAAAGGATACGAAAAATTAAGGAGTTCGTTGATCAAGCATCCAAAAATTTTGCGACCTATAACTTATATCATCCGATTTCTTAATTCATTATCGTAAAACATTGAGGCCCATCTTTTATCAATTCTGATGATGTATACATTTTACATGTATCATTTTACATGCTGATGATGTATACATTTTACATGTATCATTTTACATGCTGATGATGTATCATTTTACATGCTGATCGTAATATATAAATAGATATCGATTTTTTTACTGATTGTTACATTGCTCTGCCAAAATATTGCTAGATGAATCGAATTTGTTTAATCTTGATTCTTTCTCCTATTTTGATTCCCTTGTTATTCATTTTTCTTTTTGTTTATTTCTTATTTGGGATTTTATTCAGCCCAATTTGGCTTTTCTTATTTTTACTAATAGTTATAACTTCAGGGTATAAGTGGTATAAGCATGTTTTGTCATGTACCTTTTGTAATGTCATTCTTTTTCCAATCGAGAAACTACAAAATAAATATGTATTTCTTACAGCGGAAGTTATTCCAAAGAAATGTCACTTCCAAGGGAATTTAGTGAAGAGACAAAAAATCTTCTTGCAGTATGGCGTGATATTATTCTTGAAAAACATAAAGATGATGATGATGAAATTTTTTGTAGTGATCCATTATTGATTATTGAATACCATCAACCGGGTCTTGTCAGCAGAAATATCACAGAAAATCATGTTGCCCAAGGTATATTTATTAATATTATATAATCTTGTTCAGAGTTTTTCTTATTTTATTTTTTTTGATTAGTTATTAGAGGTACTCCCGGCTATACTCCTAACCCGTTTCCCAATGTCACACATCCTCCGCAATCGAATTCAGTCTTCGCATTCAATAGAATGCAAACAATGGATGATGCTGTTGCACGATTACTTAGAAGTTATAGTAACCTTGTGTCGGGACGACCAGACCCTGTTGTTGGACAAGTATACGTAGTGGAGTTTCGCAGGGCTAATACATACGAAGTTTCTGAACGGACCAGTGTTTTTGACTGATGTAATCATTAACCTCAAGATTTTTATGGACTGGTTAACAATATGGTATAATAAACAAGGGGCGTGCAATTAGACTTATTAAAGTTTTATTCGTTATACTTCGTCAGGTGATCTTGACCATGAAAGAAAATGATATTTGTATTTTATCCAATAATTATAAAATGGTAATTTCCGTGCTTTGATTTTTAATCGTGTACGTATCTGTGATGTGAAGCAAACATTAATTACTGAAATCGCATGATAAAAAACATGAAATTTGTATTCGTATAATATTATTTAAATCTAATAAGTGTATACAGTATAATTATATCAGGCTAAACTGATTCGAAGACGGAGAGCCCACAGAACCTCTCTTTATTTTATAATAATTGTTGCCGGAACAACAATATACAAATAAAAAATATATATCGCTGTTACAGGTGCGAATACAAATAAAAAAAAAATTTACTATTTAATATAAATTAAAAAAATTAATTTCTTGGGGGGTCTACGTAAATATGAACGCCATTTTAAGTAGTAAAGTTTTTAGAAATTCTAACCATTGGTTTAAATATTGGACCATTGTCGGGGGATGAACGAAGTGTGATTTGAGTAGAAGGAATTGAATCAAATAAAGGCGCCAAGTGTTCTTTTACCATATGTTTAAGCAATTCATACTTTTTGTCATTAGAAATCTCAATCGTAAAAGTTTCCTTTTCAGAATTTCTTCCAATGACGACGCAGTTAAGGTTAATAATTGCCATTTTGGGACTCTGCAAAAAATAAAAACCCATAGTTAGTAGAAAGTAACGAAATAAAAAATCTCCAGTAGTGAGCAATATACAATAACCAGACCTTGGAAGTAAATTGCAAATAAAAAAAAATATACAAGCAAAAAAAAATAACGCTATTGTTTACCCACCTTACAAGACAAAAATCACTTATTTTTATACCGTTTATTTGCTAGATCTAAAAAACCTGCCAGAAGGAAAAATACATTAGTAATTACGTTACTCAAATCTAACGCCAGTTTTTTCTCCATAAAGCAACTCCGCTCAGTCATAACTTCAACGACCCTAGCATGACCACCAAGATCAGTTACGTAATCTGTATTTAAAATTTCGATTACCGATTTTAATATCAAATGCAAAATGATTCAAAAAAAAAATAAAGCGAAATTCAAAGTTAAAATATTCTATCTATTAATATAATTGAAAGTGTTTATTTTTATAGAAATATTTTAAACAACTTTGATTTCCTGATATGAAAAGGTGTTCAAAATAATTCTTTATTTAGGCAGCAAAATGTACTTTATTTCTTTTATTCCATGTTTTTGGAAGACTTTTCGCATGCTTCTATCATTTATCATTTTTTGAATCAATATTTTTTAAACAGTTT